AAAACAAATGAAGGTTGAAGTAGGTGCATTAATGTGTGACGGAACCTTGGTCCAGATTTCTTTGTGGTGAGTGGAAAGTTTTGCCGGGAAGCACAGCTCCTGCCTCCCCTGCAGCCACGGGACCGACAACGGCTACGTTGATCACAAAGGAGGCCGAGGTTGGCGAGCTTGGAGATGAGGCTGGTGTCGGTGTGTAGATGGTGCAGAGTTGTGGCCTGATGGAGGTCGAAGCAAGAGAAGCAAGCAGGACCTGGGTTGGGTGAACACCAACCAACAGTATGGCCGGTGGAGGTTGATGGTGGTGGACGACAAAATCATTACGGCAGTAACAGTGCGGCGCCGAATGCCGTTGTCCGGTGGGTTCGGTGGACAGTGCAGTCCAGATACTCGTGCACATCCAGGGAAGGCAAGCAGCTGGGCACCAACTTGGTGCAGTCCGGTGGTGCACGCCATCAGCACGCGTTCCCATATACATGGAGGGCATGTACACATATACGTCAACATTTGTTGAGCATGTACACCCGCAGACACAACCACGCACATGGCACCTACGATGGAGTGGCCCGATGAACACGAGGTCCAGTGAAGGAGCAGACCACACGCCGTGCTCCAGCTCTCAGGTGGCATAGAGCGGTGGATGCACCTGCGCCTAACTCCCACTTACTGTCTTCTTGGTTCTTTCGGTAAAGTCACGTAGAAGGAAAATAATAAAAATAAAACATAATAAAATAATTCTCGCGACGTTTCGGCCACAACGCAAGCAGTCGTCTTCAGGTGGAGAACAGGTCTGTCAAGTAGACAGAGTCTGACAAACCTGTTCTCCACCTGAAGACGGCTGCTTGCATTGAGGCCGAAACGTCGCGAGAATTATTTTATTATGTTTTATTTTTATTATTTTCCTTCTACGTGACTTTACCGAAAGAACCAAGAAGATGAATCCCTGCAGTCACGGAAGCTTTAAATCAAAAATTCCCACTTACTGGTAGTGCTGAGCGAGGGACGAGCTGCGCAGAGCTCCCACTCACTGATGGTGTTGAGCGGGGGACGAACCGTGTCGAGCCCCCACCGGGCTATCGCTGTGTTTAAAGTCTTCCTCCATGGGTATGGTTTTGACCATGTCACCATTGACGTGCTCCCGCTGGCGCTGGTAGCACCGGCCTTGATAGTGGGGCGCACTAGACTTGCTGAGCTCACCCTGGCAGCACCAGCCTCGGTTGTGGGGTGCAGCAGACTTGCGACGCATGTTATGTTCCTAGCCTGGCACGCAGGATGTAGGGGTTCGATCCTGACCCTGACGCCTATATAATTGGAGTTTGCATATTCTCCCCGTGATCATGTGGATATTTTTTCTGGGTCCTCCGTTTTTTCCTTCCACATTTCGAAGCATGCGTCTAAATTATGTTGCTTCTTTGGATTTCCACATGATAAGCTACTGCATTGAGCTATATTTTCAAGTGATTTGTTTATTTGCCTATGTGCACTCCTATCATGTTTTGTATTATTTGCTGTTGTAACGTTCTAACTGTCCTACTGGATATCTGTCAAAGAGCACTTTATAGCTCATCGGATTCCTTCAATATAAATAAATATTCTGATGCAGTTAAGAATTTGTATCTATTGACATGAAACAATTCCTCCAACATATGGGAAATTACTAATGTCTAATTTGAAATAATTGTTTTTACATTTTAAACTACCTTTGGATGTATCCTTGCATTTGACATAACAATCATAATTTTGCGTTATAAAGCATCATCCATGTCAATTTCTACTCACAATTCTGTACTAAAATTATATACAAGGCCTAAATCCTATTTTAACAATTATTAAATGAACAACTTTAGAAAATGAATAAACAAATCAATAAATGGCATACAAACTAAAGGTATAAATAACACGTTATCACAAGAACTCAAAAAAGTTATCACAAGAGCAATTAGTCCACCAAGTGAGATCCCACCTAGCTGCATTACCGTGCAGGCCTATTGTTTTCAATATTAACAGCTTTATTTACTACAACTGGTTGAATTCAACCTTTACATTCAGCCTATTGTTGGCAACCCATAACGCCCAATGAGACAATCCACAGTTTAACTTTTGGAATGACTTTGAAAACTGCAAATATGAATATCTCCCTCAACTTATTTTTTAAGGCAATTCAAACAAAGCGAGATATTCCACTCATCTTATTTTTCATTATCATAGTGCCAGCATGATTGTATGACCATAACTAGTGCAACTATTCAAATTACCATGAACACAATAAAGCAGCTTGTGGAATCCCCCCAAGGAAGACGTACCAGTTGTTATTATGCTTTGAAAATGTATGAATGCAACTCTTGTAGTATATGCAACACGTAACATCCAGCTTTTTAAATCTGGAATCCTTGAAGTTATGGAATCTGCTGTTAAACGAAACCAATTCCTCAAACACATAAATTCCATACACCCAGCCATCAAATTCACCATGGAGGTGGAAAAGGATGGCAAGTTACCATTCTTAGATGTTTTAATTGAAAAGAGACCAAATGGCTCAATGGGACACTGTCTATAGGAAAACCACCCATACAGATGCCTACCTAAAACCTGACTCACACCACCATGCATCCCAGAAGAATTCCCTCATCAAAACTCTACACCATTGAGCTCGATGTATTTCCAACCATCATCACCTAGCCAGTGAAGTGGAACACGTACAACAAGCTCTCAAGATGAATGGATATTCAGACCACACAATCCGTAAAGCTATCACCCCAACCGTTGGGAAAGAACCATCTGAGGACCCAATCAAAACCATGACCTTGCCATACATAACAGGGGTCACAAAAGACTTCCAAAATCATGAGCAAACACAAAATCCAGGTTCGATTTAACACAGTACGTAAAATTCGTGATCTGATCCCATCTGAGAACTCACGAAGTCGAAGGTACCCGCCAACCCACCGGTATCAGAGATTTGTTCATGAAGCCATCCAGATATATAAACACAGACACAACTTCAACCGAGAAGATGAGTACAAACTGAGCAACCATTGGAAGGACGTTATTAACCAGATAGTCTTAACCGACTGTGATGTTTCCATCCTACCTGCTGATGTCAGCAGTTATTTCCGACTATGAATAAATCACCAGGTTAAACGTCTTTACATTAATGGGCTAAGTGTCTCACTAACACAGCTACCGTTGCCCCCTTTCCCTCGATGTGGCAGGACCTCTCGTTTTTTAACAGACTACAACTGGCTGTGATGTCTCTGTTTGTTTGTCTCTCTGTGTGTCTCTATGTGTGTGTCTCTATGTGAGCTCCTCTGGCAGCCAAGGCTGCGTTGGCTGGGTCATGTAGCCCGCATGCCCAGCCACCGCATGCCTAAACAGCTTTTGTTCGGCCAGATCGAGGGGGCTAAACGGGCGCGGCACGGGCTAGAGAAGAGATGGAGTGATGTGGTACAGGAGGACGTGGAGCTGAGTGGACTTGCCGATGACTGGTACCAGCGGTGTCAAGATCGGCCTCTGTGGAGGAGGCTCGTGAAGGACGCTACTGGGCAGTTGGAGGCAGTCGCCCTCCAACAACAACGGAGGGCGGAGGAGCCACGCTCTCAACAACGAGCGGAGCGCCGGATGGCTAAAGCACAGCAAGTTGGCACATTAGGGGGCACAGGTGGTGCATCAGCCAGTCATCTCGGTCATCTCAGTCAGTCGACCCGTGGCACCTGGGTCTGCCCCGTGACCTCCTGCCAGTGGGCGTTCGACACTTCACGTGGCCTCAAGGTGCACATGGCCTGGCACAAGCGTCGTGGTGACGTCACGGCCACTTAGTGGCGAATGGCGGTTGTTGTTGTTGTCTCTGTGTGTGTCTCTCTCTCTTTGTGTCTCTCTGTGTGTCTCTCTCTCTCTGTGTGGGGGTTGTCTCCCTGTGTGTGTCTCTCTCTGTCTGTGTGTCTCTCTGTGTTGTGGCTCTGTGTGTCTCTCTCTGTGTGGGGGTTGTCTCTCTGTGTGGGGGTTGTCTCTCTGTGTGTCTCTCTGTGTGTCTCTTTGTGTGTCTCTCTCTCTGTCTCTCTCCATGTGTGTCTCGCTGTGTGTATCTCTCTCTCTGCGTGTCTCTCTGTCTGTGTGTATCTCTCTCTGTGTGGGGGTTGTCTCTCTGTGTGGGGTTTGTCTCTCTTTGTGTGTCTCTCTCTCTGTGTCTCTCTCCAGGTATAAACTGAGAAATAATTGGAAGGAAGTTATTAACCAGTTTAAGTCATAACTGGCTGTGATGTTGCCATCCTACCTTCCGATGTTAGTAGTTATCTTCGACTCTCTGGTTTTACATTAACATGTTAAATGTCTTTACATTAACAGGTTAAATGTCTCACTAACACAGCCACCGTTGCTCGTTTTCCTCGATGTGGCGGTGGCTCTGAGATCTTACATTGACATGCTAATCTCTCACAATACAATGGCCACCTCCGCAGCATTGTCGTCGTGGAGGTAGTTCTCCAATCTTACATTTACATGCAAATTTCTCACTTTTTACATCACTAGCCTTTGCCCACTTCGCTTATGACCCTTGGGCTACACCCATTTAATACCTTTAAAACATCCTGCCTCAGCAGCTTTCCCGCTATATTTTTTCCCCTGATGACGATTGCTTGTGTTGCAATCGAAACGTCGTGGCTTTCTTGTTATTTTCTTTGAACTTATCTACGTGACTTTACCGAAAGACCCAAGAATAGGCAAATCAACTTTTACCATAGTCAACAGCATGTCCCTACAGCCGTTTAAAACAACATAAGACAAGAAGAATAAAGTGTGGATCAGAGCATTGAAACAAGTGACCCAAAATAAATAATGCCTCATTCCCATGTGTCTATCCTCAGAAAACCTTCACGGAGTGCATCCTATAGGCAAAACTGGTTCAGTAAAATAAAACATTGGATCGTTTCAACATTCAGGGTCTCATCAGCAGTCGAAACATTGCTGGTGAATTTACAGATATAGGCAAGGACGTTGTTTGTACTTGCTTTTCGCTTCGATGGCTGTTGCATGGTCCCTGGAATCATGATGGCCGGGTCACGGGGCCAACGCCACCCAGCAGTGGCCTTCCTGTGCATGCAGCATGTAGAGCACACCAAGGGATGGACATAATACTCTTCACACAGCACGGGATGTATACAAAATACTCTACACATGGCACGGGGTGGACACAACACTCTCTATTTCGATTTAAAGCTTTCGTGACTGCAGGGATTCATCTTCTTGGTTCTTTCGGTAAAGTCACGTAAAAGGGAAGTAAGGGAACGCAGCTTATATATAAGCTCCTAGCTTGGCATTGTCTCATTCTTCACCTGAGGACGGCTGCTTGCGTTGTGGCCGAAACGTCGTGAGAATTGTTTTATTATGTTTTATTTTTATTATTTTATTACTTCCCTTCTACGTGACTTTACCGAAAGAACCAAGAAGATGAACACTCTTTATACAGCACAAGATGGGCACAACACTCTTCATACAGTATGCGGTGGACAACTCTTCATACAGTATGCGGTGGACAATACTCTTCATACAGTATGGGGTGGACACAACACTCTTCACACAACACAGGATGGACAAAACACTCTTCATACAGTATGTGGTAGACAACACTCTTCATACAGCACAAGATGGACACAACACACGTCATACAGTATGTGGTAGACGCAACACACGTCATACAGTATGGGGTGGACACAACACTCTTCATACAGTATGTGGTGGACACAACACTCTTCATACAGTATGGGGTGGACACAACACTCTTCATACAGTATGGGGTGGACACAACACTCTTCATACAGTATGGGGTGGACACAACACTCTTCATACAGTATGGGGTGGACACAACACTCTTCATACAGTATGGGGTGGACACAACACTCTTCATACAGTATGTGGTGGACAACACTCTTCATACAGTATGTGGTGGACACAACACTCTTCATACAGTATGTGGTAAACCCAACACACGTCATACAGTATGTGGTGGACACAACACTCTTCATACAGTATGGGGTGGACACAACACTCTTCATACAGTATGGGGTGGACACAACACTCTTCATACAGTATGGGGTGGACACAACACTCTTCATACAGTATGTGGTGGACAACACTCTTCATACAGTATGTGGTGGACACAACGCTCTTCATACAGTATGTGGTAAACCCAACACACGTCATACAGTATGGGGTGGACACAACACTCTTCATACAGTATGGGGTGGACACAACACTCTTCATACAGTATTGGGTGGACACAACACTCTTCATACAGTATGGGGTGGACACAACACTCTTCATACAGTATGTGGTGGACAACACTCTTCATACAGTATGTGGTGGACACAACGCTCTTCATACAGTATGTGGTAAACCCAACACACGTCATACAGTATGTGGTGGACACAACACTCTTCATACAGTATGTGGTGGACACAACACTCTTCATACAGTATGGGGTGGACACAACACTCTTCATACAGTATGGGGTGGACAACTCTTCATACAGTATGTGGTGGACACAACACTCTTCATACAGTATGGGGTGGACACAACACTCTTCATACAGTATGTGGTGGACACAACACTCTTCATACAGTATGTGGTGGACACAACACTCTTCATACAGTATGTGGTGGACACAACACTCTTCATACAGTATGGGGTGGACACAACACTCTTCATACAGTATGGGGTGGACACAACACACGTCATACAGTATGGGGTGGACACTACACTCTTCATACAGTATGGGGTAAACAACTCTTCATACAGTATAGGATAGACACAACACACGTCATACAGTATGTGGTGGACACAACACTCTTCATACAGTATGTGGTGGACACAACACACGTCATACAGTATGGGGTGGACAACACTCTTCATACAGTATGGGGTGGACAACTCTTCATACAGTATAGGATAGACACAACACTCTTCATACAGTATGTGGTGGACACAACACACGTCATACAGTATGTGGTAGACGCAACACACGTCATACAGTATGGGGTGGACACAACACTCTTCATACAGTATGGGGTGGACACAACACTCTTCATACAGTATGTGGTGGACACAACACTCTTCATACAGTATGGGGTGGACACAACACTCTTCATACAGTATGGGGTGGACACAACACTCTTCATACAGTATGGGGTAGACACAACACTCTTCATACAGTATGGGGTGGACACAACACACGTCATACAGTATGGGGTGGACACAACACTCTTCATACAGTATGTGGTGGACACAACACTCTTCATACAGTATGGGGTGGACACAACACTCTTCATACAGTATGGGGTGGACACAACACTCTTCATACAGTATGTGGTGGACACAACACTCTTCATACAGTATGGGGTGGACACAACACTCTTCATACAGTATGGGGTGGACAACTCTTCATACAGTATGTGGTGGACACAACACTCTTCATACAGTATGGGGTGGACACAACACACGTCATACAGTATGTGGTGGACACAACACTCTTCATACAGTATGTGGTGGACACAACACACGTCATACAGTATGTGGTGGACACAACACTCTTCATACAGTATGTGGTGGACACAACACACGTCATACAGTATGTGGTGGACACAACACTCTTCATACAGTATGTGGTGGACACAACACACGTCATACAGTATGGGGTGGACACAACACTCTTCATACAGTATGTGGTGGACACAACACACGTCATACAGAATGTGGTGGACACAACACTCTTCATACAGTATGGGGTGGACAACTCTTCATACAGTATAGGATAGACACAACACTCTTCATACAGTATGTGGTGGACACAACACACGTCATACAGTATGTGGTAGACGCAACACACGTCATACAGTATGGGGTGGACACAACACTCTTCATACAGTATGGGGTGGACAACTCTTCATACAGTATAGGATAGACACAACACTCTTCATACAGTATGTGGTGGACACAACACACGTCATACAGTATGTGGTAGACGCAACACACGTCATACAGTATGGGGTGGACACAACACTCTTCATACAGTATGGGGTGGACACAACACTCTTCATACAGTATGTGGTGGACACAACACTCTTCATACAGTATGGGGTGGACACAACACTCTTCATACAGTATGGGGTGGACACAACACTCTTCATACAGTATGGGGTAGACACAACACTCTTCATACAGTATGGGGTGGACACAACACACGTCATACAGTATGGGGTGGACACAACACTCTTCATACAGTATGTGGTGGACACAACACTCTTCATACAGTATGGGGTGGACACAACACTCTTCATACAGTATGGGGTGGACACAACACTCTTCATACAGTATGTGGTGGACACAACACTCTTCATACAGTATGGGGTGGACACAACACTCTTCATACAGTATGGGGTGGACAACTCTTCATACAGTATGTGGTGGACACAACACTCTTCATACAGTATGGGGTGGACACAACACACGTCATACAGTATGTGGTGGACACAACACTCTTCATACAGTATGTGGTGGACACAACACACGTCATACAGTATGTGGTGGACACAACACTCTTCATACAGTATGTGGTGGACACAACACACGTCATACAGTATGTGGTGGACACAACACTCTTCATACAGTATGTGGTGGACACAACACACGTCATACAGTATGGGGTGGACACAACACTCTTCATACAGTATGTGGTGGACACAACACATGTCATACAGTATGTGGTGGACACAACACTCTTCATACAGTATGTGGTGGACACAACACACGTCATACAGTATGTGGTGGACACAACACTCTTCATACAGTATGTGGTGGACACAACACACGTCATACAGTATGTGGTGGACACAACACTCTTCATACAGTATGTGGTGGACACAACACACGTCATACAGTATGGGGTGGACACAACACTCTTCATACAGTATGGGGTGGACACAACACTCTTCATACAGTATGGGGTGGACAACTCTTCATACAGTATGTGGTGGACACAACACTCTTCATACAGTATGGGGTGGACACAACACACGTCATACAGTATGTGGTGGACACAACACTCTTCATACAGTATGTGGTGGACACAACACACGTCATACAGTATGTGGTGGACACAACACTCTTCATACAGTATGTGGTGGACACAACACACGTCATACAGTATGTGGTGGACACAACACTCTTCATACAGTATGTGGTGGACACAACACACGTCATACAGTATGGGGTGGACACAACACTCTTCATACAGTATGTGGTGGACACAACACACGTCATACAGTATGTGGTGGACACAACACTCTTCATACAGTATGTGGTGGACACAACACTCTTCATACAGTATGGGGTGGACATAACACTCTTCATACAGTATGGGGTGGACACAACACTCTTCATACAGTATGTGGTGGACATAACACTCTTCATACAGTATGGGGTGGACACAACACACGTCATACAGTATGTGGTGGACACAACACTCTTCATACAGTATGTGGTGGACACAACACTCTTCATACAGTATGTGGTGGACATAACACTCTTCATACAGTATGGGGTGGACACAACACTCTTCATACAGTATGGGGTGGACACAACACTCTTCATACAGTATGGGGTGGACACAACACTCTTCATACAGTATGTGGTGGACACAACACTCTTCATACAGTATGTGGTGGACATAACACTCTTCATACAGTATGGGGTGGACACAACACTCTTCATACAGTATGGGGTGGACACAACACTCTTCATACAGTATGTGGTGGACACAACACTCTTCATACAGTATGGGGTGGACACAACACTCTTCATACAGTATGTGGTGGACACAACACTCTTCATACAGTATGGGGTGGACACAACACTCTTCATACAGTATGGGGTGGACACAACACTCTTCATACAGTATGTGGTGGACACAACACTCTTCATACAGTATGGGGTGGACACAACACTCTTCATACAGTATGGGGTGGACAACTCTTCATACAGTATGTGGTGGACACAACACTCTTCATACAGTATGGGGTGGACACAACACTCTTCAT